TTGAGGAGTGTAAATTAAGGTTGATTAATATTTCTAAAAATTTGATGAGCATTTCAATCCAACTTTCCTTTTCTTTCTCTTCTACCTTTTTAGAAAACAGTTCACCTAAAGTAAAATTCTTAGATGATTACCTTGTTGAAGTCACACAAATTATGACATTCCATTTATGATTGTTCGTGAATTTTTTGACATTTTTCATCTACAAACTTTGCTTAAAGTGAATTTGTATTAAAAGGATTAAAAAAAACAAACATTTTTTACTTTTGTTCATTGTTTGAATGCTTGGCAGAAAAGGTTTAAGTGAACGCGCTCAATTTCTCGTGATACACATTACTAGATCATATTCCACATTCGCATCCTAGTCCAATCATGGGTGACAAAGCAGCATTGGAGAAACTTAGAGAGGAACTCCAAAATCTAAAGGTCCTATGAGAAGAAGAAGCACAAATGAAGGCTCATAGAAAAGTAGAAAAGGCTAAAATAAAAGTAGAGAAAGACAAAGAAAAAATTCTAAAAGAAAAAGCAAGAGCCGAAAGAATAGAGGCCTTGGAGAAACTTGTCCTTCGAGCCAGCTTAGGGTCTAAGTTCTTCAATTATGAGCTTGCACCACAACCTAGTGGCAAGACTCTCCCAGAAAAGTTCTTGACAACAGATTTACTAACCTTAAAGGTTATAGACAATCCTAGGACTCACTTAATGAGCTTTCTTGGAATGATGGCATTGAAAGGGGTCGAGCATAGCTTATATGCATGTACTTTCCCTCTTTCATTGGACCCAACTGCTAGATCATGTTTGTATAACCTCGATGCAAAACAAACTTCCAATTAGGAGGACGTTGTAAAAGCGTTTCTAGCCCAATATAGAGATGACATCAAGCTCACAACTACCTTGCGCGATCTTGAGTTACTCAAGCAAGGGGAAGAAGAAGGCTTCATTGAATTCTTTTCCAGGTGGCGATCAAAGGTTGCTCTTCTTCACAAAGACCTCCGAATCATGAACTTGTCCCAAAGTTCATAGACAATATGTCTCCACCATACAAGGTTTAGACACATTTCGTAAAGTCTATACTGTGGGAACATTAATTGAAAAGGACTTGATAAATGAAACCACAAATCATATAGATGGACTAGATTTTTAGAGAGGATCTCACCTACGCTGGAAACGGGCAAAGCTCGAAGACGCAATCTCAAGAAGTTGTCAACAATTCACGATTTAGCATTTTAGGTCTTGTTTTGTTTATTTCCTTTTTGTTTTCTCTATGATAAACTAAGAGATTCATGCTGTCGAATCTACTTATTATGTACTCTCATTAATTAATGAATAAAAATTCTATTTTCAAGTACGTCTATCTTGTTTTTTTTTCCAATCACTTTGTTGTTATTAGCTCGAATTAAATGGAATACACATACAAACAGGCAATATAAAATAGGCATACATACTCAACACTTTAAGAATCTTGATGAGCTTTGTCTTACAAGATTTATCGAATGAAAAGAGGCCCATTTTTGGCCCACGAAGAAAGGATATGATGATTACAACACAGGAGGCAACTTGAAACTCCACGAAGATGACCCCATGTTTTTAACCTTAAAACAAATCCATTTTTTTGGCAGCCCTTTTGAGCCTCGTCAACCGAGCCTTACTTATTCAACTTACATTATTCCAAACCTTAGGATGGGGATGGTGCAAAGAGATACAAATGAAAAATTGGGGGAACGAAACATAAGAGGGGGACACAAAGTTAGTCTAAACCCAAAAAGTAAAAATTCAATGCATTAGCTTATGATATTCATGTGCTCTTTTCGATCAACATTCATACATCAAATTAATCTTAAGCATATTTAATCTATGTTGGTTGATTATTAATGCACAATCAAATCTATTATTGGCGATCACTTGAATTCAAATCAAATTATTAAATATCTTATTAGGCGTGATTTCAAGTACAAATTCCCTTTAATCCTGCAAGAAGGGGCGTGATCAAGCAATAACAGTCAATCATGAACAATCAAGCAATGTAATATTTGACACAACAATCTTCATCATAATAATAACATCAAAACGTTATTAGTAAGATCCTAGGCATGATACTAAACGGATTAATAACAAACCCTAGCATGTCACTAATAATCATAATCAAAGCATTAGCCTAAACATGAAACTAGAAACCAACATGGTATTAGAAATATTAATTAACACCGTAAACATGATACTAGGAATCAACATCCTAACACGATACTAGAAATCAAACTAATATTCTAAGCATGATTTCTATCAAAAGAACAATAAGTAATCAAATTACTTACTTTGATACCTCGTATCTCTTTCGATCAAGACAATACACACGTTAGTAAACTTCAAGAAAGATGAAATTAAATAAATAAGAATTAAAATATAGATTTAGGACCAAACCCTCAGAATTATCAACCTTTAACGTTGAGGTCGAAGGCAACTTCGAGGTTGGCTAGGAGTATTCCAAGCTCGTGAAGGAGGTATGGAGTTTGATTAGGAAAAAGTATCAAGGATGTGTATTAGGACGTGTTTAGGCTAGGCTAAGAAAAGAATCAAGAGAGAGAGAGACAAAGTATTAGAGAAGGGATTAGATGATGATTGTTGGTGAATGAAAACGGGGTGAAACGACCTCTATTTATAAGAAAAAAGGGGTCGAAGGATCAGAAAAGAGTCAAAATCCGACTCGGAGTAAAACGCTTCTCATCGCGGCGCGACAGGTCCACCGCGGCGCGACAGCCTTATCGCGACGCGATAGTGCTGTCGCTTAGCGACGGTTTTGGAAAGATAGGGTTCGTACGGAATCCGATTTCTAATCAGATTGGGCTAATCAAATTTTTGTACGTATTCAAATTTGACCGGGATTAGGATCATTGAAAAACAGATGGTTTATCCGATGTAAAATTTTTAAATCTTTTTCTTTTCGAAAATAGGATAAATTAGAACCTTCTAGAGGATTCCAGAAGCTCTCAATAAATACTAATGAATTTAGGATCGAAAACAACCTTCTAGATGATTCTGGAAGCTTGTAATAAATCCTAATTGGTTTAGGAACGAGGTTAAGGTTAATGGACCCTCCACATGATCATTGGGTCGCAGGTAAGGCTTTGTTCGGGCTCAGTTTAGTATTTTGGCCATAACTTCTTCGTTATAAGTCGGATGTGGGCTTATAATATATCGTTGGAAAGCTTTTTTGGACCGAGATCATAGACCAAAATAGACTTTTTTGGACATTTTATAAACTAGACACGAAATGAATGATTTTCAAAGACAAATATGACTGACTTTGGATTAAAACATTTAAGGAAAGGTTATAAATGGTCAAGGCTAAAGGGAATTCACGAGACTCTTCAACTCTTCACTTAACTCGATAATCAAAGACGTGAAAGGTACTCATCACTTGGTTAGGTTTTTGGGGAGACACAATCAGGTGTCTACAGGTCAGGAGAGTGATATCCATCTTCTCTGTTTGGACTTCTCCTTCTTCTAAGGCTTCTTCTATTCTCCAAAACTTCAAGAATTCTATTAAACTTCCTTTCTAGAGCATCCGATCTAGAGTGCTCATTGTAACTTTCATCATCTTCATAAAAGTATCTATCATCCATGTGTCTAGATAGAAATCTTGTATCTTTAATAGAAAAAATTCAAATTTTGTGAGTAAAAGATGAGATCATTTGAGAAGGGGAAAGAGAGATTCAAAAGGTAGGATCTTTCTAGGCTAATAACCTAGTCTTTGAAACCAAATTGATATGAAACAACCAACAAAACCAAGAAAAGAGGGGAGAAAATCAATCAACAACAATTTCAAAGCAACAAAACAAGATAAACCTATCTCAAAAATCACCAAGATAAATGAAATAGGGGTTCTTAATCAAAGCCAACACCAAGTAAATCTAGGATTAAGGTGTAACCACAAAGATTACAAGGAAGCAATCACAAAGATTACAAGGAAGCAATCACAAAGATTATGGGTAGAGAGAGAAAATCTCATTGATTTCAAAATTAAGCAAAAGTTGATCCCAAAAGAAAGCTTAGCCCTATTTAAAGGCTTTACAAACAAACCCTAAATTTCTTGAATTACACCCCTTGAATTACAAATAAAAGGCCAAGATTAAAAGATAGCAAAAATAAGCATAAAAGAAATAAGGATGTTCGCTCGAACAAGGCCTTTGGAGTGGCCGCTCTAAAGGGTAGGAGCGGGCGCTCCTCGCTACTGCAAACTTCATTTGACGACCTTAGGAGCGGGCGCTTCACTTGGGAGGAGGGGGCGCTCCACTTCGGGGGAGCGGGCGATCCTTTAGACTGCATGGACAACTCAACTTCAAACATTCATATCTTCTTCGTTTCTTGCTCAAATTTGTCATATGAGATATCGTTGGAAAGCTCTCGGACTCTACTTTCATCTTCAATTTGAATCGCATAAAAATTTCTTGTAACAAAAAAGATATGGCTGATTTAATTTGAGTATCACATTTTTTTTATCAAGTACAAGTCTTTCTTTTTTTCATGCTTGTTTCCATGCTTAATCTTCAACCATCACATGTAAATTTAAGACACAAGGATTTCACTTATTCACTTAAATCACATCAAAACATAGAGAATTCATCCAAAATGTTGATTGAGCTATAAATGCCACTAAACGGATCATATAGCCATATAACCCGTCGGTTTTAAGAACGCTCCCGCATCACTTTCGGTATTTCCCTTTTTGTGATTGCCTTTAATGATCCATGAACAGTTTACACGTTCCTTAAAAACTTGTTGGAGGCTCCCTACTTTTTTGTCCCTATAGTTATATGTCAAATCTAACTTTCTACGATTGCCAAGCATATTCACCTATGCTCCACATAGGCGCACTTCAAGCGATGCCTACACTACCCTGAATTTTATCTTATTCCTTACTAATCATTTCACACCTTAAACCCTATCTTCCTATCCTTAAACACCTTTAAATAGACCCTTAATTCTCCTCATTCAGTCACACCAAAAAAATCAAAAAACACTTCTCCATTTCTCAAACCTCACGGTCGTCTCCTTCTCCCTCTCTTTCTTTCTTTCATGCTTAAAACCAACACCGCAACCGTAACCTAAAGCTAGTTGCTGCCACCAATCTCTGCCGCCCAACTGTTGCTGCCGCCTACCACTTACTGTCGTACTACCGCTGCCTTTCCGCCACCTCACTGTTGCCGTGTCTTGCTGCCAACAAGGTGCAGTAGCACTTTGTTTCTTTCACCCTCCTTTTGCCGCAAGAAACTAAAACAACAAAAATAATACTTGCTTCCTTTTATTCCTTATCTTATTATCTTTATGAGTATCATTACTACTTTTATTAATTTATTATACTAGTGCTTTTATTTTTTTATTTTTAATAATACTAACGTGATAATTTTGATACTAGCTAATATATCACTATTTTTTATACTAACACAAATTATTGATAAGGTTAATGGTTTCGGTAGTTGGAAAAGTATTGGCGTATAGCACCTATGTGCTTAGAAAGTGTATAGGATGACACTGGTTTTCTAGTGGTACAATTTAAAGTACAAAACGTACATACCACTTTGATTAAATGTACCAATGTGATTTCAGTGGTACATTTTCGGAGTATTAAATGTACCACTAGCACAGTTAAGTGGAATATTCAAGTTTTCTAATGCCTGATAAATTACGCTTCTGCCCTCTTATACACTTCGTTTGTCAATAGGTGCTATGCGCTGATATGCACTCTCGGTAGTTCATGCACAAGTAGAGTAGAGTTTATATTTTTATGATTAGTTGTTGACCTTATATTAATTAAGGTTATCTTAATTGTGTAGGAGGAGTCTTACGATCGTGGTCAAGTGTAATCGTACCTAAGTTTCCCGTGATCAAGGTACGCATAGGTGGCTAGGTTCTTGAACTTGTATCAAGATTCTTGATACAAGTTTTGAATGGGTGTTTTAGTGAATGTTTTATTTTGATTGTTGAATTAAGGTTGCGTATGGAAGGTTTGAAATAATGATTTTCATGATGAGTTAAAGTACAATTTTATGATTTAAAGGTTTGATCTTTAAAAGTGTTAATTAATTTAATAAAAGTTGTTTTATAAATCACTTAATTACAAGTTATTGTTTTATAAATCACTTAATTACAAGTTATTGAATTAAAAGAATAAATTTAAATTTAAAGCTCATTATGTACCCGGGACTTGTTAAGTAGGACCATGAACTTTGTATGATCCGGTCTTCCCTTGAGTATAGTTTGACTTGCTTGGGGGGGGGGGGGTGTGTGTGCACACTTAGGTGAGGAAAATTGGTTTTGGAAATTTGTCTAAAGTTGGAAAGTTTATAAATTTGGAAATCTATTGATTTGGAAAGTTTCTATTGATGGACATTACTATATTTGGAAGGTTTAATTTTGAAAATTCTAAATTTAGAAAGTCTAATTTTGGAAAGTGATATTTGGCATGTTTAAATTAAAGTAATTATCTCGAAAGCATGTTTGCCTTATAAAAGTGTTTACATGCCTTGCACCTATATGTACTTAGCGTTTTTACTAATCTGTTTTCCTTTTTATTTTGGTTCGCCCTATTTACCATTATTGGTAAGCAGTCTTAATTTCAGGGGTGGAGTTGATCGTGCCCATGCTTGAGTTGGGATTGGGATCACCAGGTTAGGAGTTAAATTATTTATGAGTTAGACAAGTTTTTAATTCGAGTATTTTGGAACAATTATTATGTTTATTCTTATTATTATTTATTAAAATAAAAGTCATTTATTTTCCGTTGCCATATTTAGTAGTTAAATAAGCTTTACGTTTTTCACATGGCGGTAATACGCCCAAGTCTATCTCTATGGTATTTGTATACATATAAATATTGTATTTACGTAAAAAGAAACTTGGGGGTGTTACAGAATAAGTGAATAACCAGCCAAAGTTAGCTAGTCACGGGACCAACCAATAACAATTGTAATTTTAAATCACTGTAAAGCATGATCCGGTCCATTAATGTCCTATAGATCATATAAAGACCCAACCCATTTATTTAGTAGACTTATCTGACCCATTTATAACCGGGGCATGGCTCTGATTAATGGAGCTCCAACCCATTGAATTGCTCGGTCAATAAGGAAAAAAAAATTAACACGGATGAAACGGATCCCCTCTCTCACAGTTCCCATTGAAGCACACTAAACATCGTACTTCACGTTCTCCATCGAATACTTGTATACCCCATTGAAGCAGCTTTTGAGGTAAGTTGTTTCTTTTCGTGATCATCATCATATCATATTCATTGGTTCTAAATAATAAGATTAAGAAAGATCATAATGAGCGATTATGTTGCTAGAAAAGAGAATTATGAGCCTAATTTGATGATTGAATCACTAAAATTATGTGATTTTTCGGGCTTTGTTTGATAATTGAATCAAATTTGGACTTGCGTCATGAATTGTTGATCATAAATTAGCCATCTCATTGATACTTGAAACAATACATACCCGTGCTGTCATTTATAGATGCAGTGTAAGTTTTTGTTGATGAAATTCAAGAGAGTTATGGTTTGCTATTGGAATACTTTGGTCATATTGATGGGTTTTTTTTTTTTTTTTTTTTCATTGCTTTTCTTGTGTTAAAGTTTGTGGGTGCTGGGAAAATTGGTATATCCTTGTACTTTCTGTTGGCCTTGTATTATTGAATGCTAATATGATGACGACTTGTTCCTTTAGATGAGCGCTATAGGTAAAATTGTTGCTACGAGACTTAAAAGTTCAGGACTGTTAAGAAGTCAACCTCTGATCGCTGGAAAATGGACTGAAGCTTATGATGCGCATACCCGTGCTGTCATTTCTAGATGCAGTGTAAGTTTTTCTTGATGATATCAGGAGGGACTGGAGAGTTATGGTTTGCTATTGGAATACTTGGTCATTTTGATGTTTTTTCATTGCTTTTCATGTGTTAAAGTTTGTGGGTGCTGGGAAAATTGATATATCCTTGTACTCTCTGTTGGCATTATATTATTGAATGCTAATATGATGACGACTTGTTCCTTTAGATGAGCACTAAAGCTGAAAATGTTGCTACGAGGCTTAAAAGTTCAGGGCTGTTAAGAAGTCAAGGTCTGATTGCTGGAAAATGGACTGAAGCTTATGATGGGAAGGTTATCGAGGTATGAATCTCTTGATTTAGTGGTTTCAGAAATTGTTGGTGTCTCAGATACTTGTGGTTTGTGAATAGGTAAGGTGGGTTAAGTATATGTTAATATAGAGTTAGTAGGTTAGAATAACACTCAATTATCTTTTAAAAAAAATATGCACATATGTTAGCCGTACTTATAGCTAAAAGAAAACATTCTGTTTTGACTGCCTGAATACAGATTTGGGAATAATCCTTTTTTTGGGATAGAGATAGACCAGTGAACACCACCTCCTCTGGCACTCTATAGGAATGTGTAATTTATGTTACTCAAAAAATTAAAGAATTGCCAAATGTGACACTAATAAATTCAGACTTTGACAATGCAAAAACTAAAAGATCATTTGCATTACAAGTGGCTGGTTATGAAGTGGCTGAACACAGACTGTCCATTTTCTCATTTTCGTGATTAACTTTGCCCACTCAGCACCTAATTTTGGCACCTAGTACCAAAAGATCACTAGCACTATTAGTGGCTGGTAGATATTAGTTGAACATAAAACATTCTTCTTTCCATCTTGGTACATTAGTTTTTGAAATCAAAATGCTTTTCAAGCTATGTCGCTAGCTAGTATCATCCTTGACCTTTGTTGTTCCTTTGACGAGGCCACCTCATATTTCATTTTCCTTAATTAAGAAGCTGCAGAGGAGAATGGTGAAGACTATGGAGGAGTCACCCCATAGCCAAGTTTCTATGCAGCTTGTGTGCTCTTACAGATTGGTTCTCGTCTATCCCATATGAAGATAGTAAAGAAAGCATGGGAGTTTTTAAGCTGCATCTCAAATTTAGGCACTGTGGAACATGTAACTCAGCTGCCGGCGAATCAGCTGGGTTCTTTGAATCCCGTGCGAATTTAACTGAAGGTTTCAAATGGTGGGTAGGACTAACAGTTATCAAAATGCTCTGTAAACTAACATGCATGTGAAATCATATATGTAGCAACCCAACAACCAAGCTGAAGCACAAAAGCCAAGGTGCTGTAGACTTTTACTAGTCAATGAATCACAATGGGTTGTGAACAAAATGGAGGATAAGATCTTTACGTACAAAGTAACAGTGATTCAAAAAAAAAAAAAAAAAGGAAAAAAGAAGTTAGGCAAAAATTTCATTAGAATCTCCAGGGATTAGCAAGCTTTGAGTCAAAATTGGACAACATTAATCTAGAAATGAGCAACTATTGCCATGAATAGGGCAATATTCTCCCCTAGAAGAAAAAATGTGCTGGATATCTCTAATGGTTTAATTTTTTTGTTATAAGGTGCCATCTGAGTGGAATTTAGTTAAATTATTGCCTGTTCTTAATTGATAACATTGCTGTGAGTGCTGTCAGGCGGTCATTTTAGTGGAATTTTCGGATGGCAAGATAGTAGGAATCTTGTACCAGTGTCATAGTAGTTGTACTTTACTTGATTTATCATTTAAGGAAGCAATATGTTTTAGTCTTTTATGTTGACTTGTATGGGCTTCATTTCTCACAGCTAAAGTTTACACAATGAGATGACAGGTGACCAATCCTGCCACTGGTGATGTTGTAGCAAATGTTCCATGCATGGGTGGAAGGGAGACAAATGATGCAATATCTGCAGCTTATGAAACATTCAGTTGTATGTGACTTGAGTCTAATCAATCTTGCATTTTTTAACATTCTGAAATAGTCTTTAACTCTTTATATTTACAATTCTCATCTTTTAGTCTTGATATGTAATAAATGTTTCCAATGTATGCAGTAGAAGCTTAATGTAGGTACTTAATTATTAAAACATATTAACCTTGTTGGTATGTTCAACTGTAGAGGCACAATGCGGTGTTTCTAAAACTAGTTTAACCAAGGTTGGGTATGGCTGTTTTGGATGTAGGCTACATAGACATTTTATAGCAATTAAAATTTTCTGTGTTCTTTGTATTGTTATTGGTAATATAAAAAGTATATAACAGTCCAGATGGCTTTTTGTCGTTTCATTGGTGTGGCATTGCCTTTTATACTTCTATTCCCTGGTCTATTTGCCTTAAAATACTGAATTAGTTCTTGCTGACTTTTTGTTGATGTCATGTCTTTGCTTAATCCCCTCTAGGCCCTCTTTGATTTCTCTTTTGTTTGTTTTCCCTTTAGCATGGAGCAAAACCACAGCAGCTGAAAGGAGCAAATGCCTACGGAAATGGTACCAAATTGTTTTCTATCTCTTTCATGTTTGATGTTCTTCAATCAATGTCTATGAAAATGGTATTAGACTGTTTTCTGCTTTCATTTATGAAGCCACATTTTATACAGTTTTGTTTTGAATTGATGTTATAAAAAGTTTCCAGATCTAGGTATACCTTGGCTTTATGTGCAACAATTAAATATGTCCAATGGACAGACATAAAGTTAGATACTAAAGTCAGGTATTGACAGGGGTTTTGGATTGAAGAGTGTTCTTTCCCTAACTATTTTCTTTGCCTCTATCATAAGTTTACAATTTATGGTTTTATTTCTATTATTTTTTCCTAGACTTCCAATTGGAAGAATGTAATCTAGCTTCTTGATTTTTTCCTTTGGGAGAGACCCTAAAGAGTTGGAGCTATTATAATCGACAATTTGGAGCTATTGGAAAATGTTACTGTTTCAGAATTTTCGGATAAGATGGTGAGATTATGGGCACTCCTCTGGTCTTTTCATAAATCTTTCTGTTCTCATTAGCAAAAGCTTCTGCATGCCTTGCCATTTCCTTAAGTTCTTACGCAGCTTAAAGCCTTTGTTTGGACAGATTGGGGGGTAGGCTTAACACCAATGATGTTTGCAATTTGTTGGCCAGTGAGGAAGACTACCTTGATGTGTTTGTGACTGTGTTATGGTTGCACTTCTATCACTTCCTGTATTGTGAGGTGCATGTCAATTGTTGGAGTTCATGGATGTTTAGTGGGCTTTTCCTCAGTAATCTGGGAGTTATTTTGGTAAGACATTGGAAGCTGGGAGCCTGGTAGGAAATTCCATTTGAGATCAGCATATGAAGCTAATTATTTGTGTTTTGTGACTATAATAAAATATAAGGATATTTTGCATTTAGTATAGGCGGTTCGAGTTTGAAAGGTTATACTTATTTGCCTTGCTTCACTTTGATGCTACTGTAGTTTTCTTTTTTATTTTTGGGAGAGAGGGGGGGGGGGGGGATTTTGGGCCTCTTCTTTCAGTTCTTTGATAATGTCATGCATAGCTGGCATGATGTTCTCATGCTTTAATGCTGTTAAAGGATACCTGTTGCCTATAAATCATTTACTTGAAAGATTCTTCTTATGTTCTAATGAATTTTCCTTTATTTGGAAATAATAAGCTACCATTGTAGAAACTAGAAAGATTGTCACATCCTTTTTTGATGTTCAGATTCTTTTTCATGGGCCTACTTAGGAACTGATGCTTGGATGTGTTCTTTGGGAGCCTAAATTGGGTAGTTAATTATAGTCTGTCAAAAATGTTAACAATTCTGAAATAGGGTTTGTAATTTTGTATGCAATATTCATAGTTGATATTTGGTGATCTATATACTTTTATTCTGGAAAATTTTTGTTGTCTCCTTCAACCCGAAAAAAAAAAAAAAAAGGAAGAAAGAAGTAATCCAATGTAATCCGATGCAATCAGGTATAAAAGACCTTTTTTTATCAGGAATTTTTTATTAAACCAAGATGAGAGACTTACAGGCTTACAACTAGAGGACAAGGGCAAAAGAAGATTCTGTAACATTAAAAGTTGGAATCAGTTTTAATAAGTAAAAATTGATTTTAAATACTTCCGTTGTTCCTTTAATATTGCTAAATGAGGGAGTGTGCAGAATTTTAGGTAGTGGGAAATAGGAAAAGAGGGATAGGCAAAGTCACAAACTTGTCCATGTGATTGAAAACATTATTCAAAACAAATATTAATGAGGGTATATTGGGTATTTGTAGTGGGAAAAAGTTATATTTATTTTCCTAAAATGGGTATGCTGTAATATCTATGAAATTTCCTTTGTAGGTAAACTTTGCAATGTTAAAGAACAAAGGAAGTAGGTAATCACTTTATTTAGCAAAATATAATTTTAACTAATGACAGTTTGTTACCTCATAAAAAATAAATATATAGAACACTACGTGGTAGTAATTGTGGGACCATGGAGGGGTTAAACGAGGGAGAGGGAGACCGAAAATGACTTGGTTTGCAGGAGTTAGGAAGGATATGAAGTATATAGATTTGCATGAGGATGAGGCATTGGATCGTAAGCGATGGAGGAGGAAGATTTTTGTCGATGACTACATGGAATAATCAAATTTGGTTCATGTAGCCGACCCACTTATGGGATTAAGGCTTTGATTGATTGATTGATTGGCTATGTAGTAGTAATTAAGTAAAAATAATTTAATTATTAATATATACCAGGTGAAAAGAATATGGTCCTACTTAACCATTCACTTGATACTTGTTGATTAAATTATATCTCATTTCTTTAAATTTAGCCTTTTATACTCTCCCCGTTCCCAAAAGTTTGAATTATTTTATGTAGACTCTTTTCTAGGAAAGTTGGAAAAAAAAAGTGGTGTAAGAAACAAGGTGTATAGAGTAAGAGGGATGGAGTAAAAGGTGTGAGTGTAAAAAAAAAAGGTGGATAAAGTTAGAGACACTGTAAAGGTGTAACTAGTGAGGGGTAAAGTAGTAAAAGGATTTTGCAAAAAATGGATCAAGTAGAAGTGAGTCAAACTTCTAGAAACACCCCAAAACAGATAGTGTATCAAACTTTCTGGAATAGGGATATATGTTTTTTGTATTCTGGTGCATAAATATTCTGTATGTTGGATTATTGCATTTCATTAACTTCTAAATTGTTCATGAAATTTTAAGTTAATGTGGCATTATGTTTATTGAATTGGTAGTTGTGCCAAGCCATGTTTCCATTAAACACGTCAGAAAATAACTCTTATTATTCTGTTTATGGCAAATTTATATCTTGTGTCATTGTTTAGTTTTCTTAACAATTATTTCATTTAGGTATGATTTGCTGATTGCTCATAAGGAAGAGCTTGGACAACTCATTACATTAGAGCAAGGAAAACCCTTAAAAGAAGCAATTGGTGAGGTAATATTTTTTCCATTTTCTGAACACTTCTTTAATTTTTTCCAACTCACAATATAAGAACAAAACACCTTATATTTTTTTTTCACCCAAATTGTGCATAATAATATTTTTTTTTCCAAATTTTGAACACTTCTTTAATTTTTTCCAACTCACAATATAAGAACAAAACACCTATTTTTTATTTCCACCCAAATTGTGCATAAATTGTGCACACTACCACCCACTTTACCTCACTAACTAATTGCTCCCCCAAGCCAAGCTTGGAACTAGTAATTGATGGGGATAAATTAGGCCAATAATGTGGTAAGCGACATTAAAAGGGAATAGGCAACAACATAGGTAGCAAGTAGGAACAAATGTATCTAAAATCATCTAAAGGGTTCTTAATATAAGAAATGCCTTCGTCCTCCACAATGTGCATATAAGTGAGCCATATAATATTACTAATAGACAAACTAATACTTAAATTCATTGCCATATCATGAACTAACACACAATTCCTCACAAATCAAATGTTAGTCAAGCACCAAATCACTAATAGTTGGACAAGTTGGTGCATGTTAGAGTGTTAAAGCAACCAAACATCAATTCATGGTCAACTAATTCACAATGCTCACCATCATATACCAAGAATCAAAACAATTTCCAAACACTTTCGATAAGGGGCATAGGGAAGCGTTTGATTTATCATTCATTAAAACGTATTTTTGGATTTTTATTTTCTTTTTGAAGCAACAAATCTATCCTAGGAAAGCACTTAAGTATAATTTGATAAAGAATTAAATCTATATAAGCACATGAAAACAATTAAAAGAGAGAAAGAGTAAAACAAGTACCAAATATATAAGAAATCAATCAACCCCCCAAGCTAAATAGGATAATGTCTTCATTAGCTTAGAGGGAAGCTAGTAATCATCCCAACTACTCATCTTCATCATCATCTTCACAATGCACTCCATCATCATCACCGCGATCTACATCCTCGAAAACATAGTACCAACATCACTTAAATTGACACCAATATAAGATTAAGGGTTCCCCACGCCACTACCCATCCTTTGGTAGGTATAATCGGTGTAACCACCCATGACTCCTGGGTTCACATACTCGTGAAAAGGGTATTGAAATCAATAGAGAAATCCTAAGTGAACATTCTCTTGTGAGGAATTAAGGTTGGGGCCTTTACCCTTTATATGATGATTATGCTAGAAGGAGATTGTTCACTGGATTCTTGGATGTTTTGCATCTCTATTGATTCAATACCCTTCTTAAGGGTATATGGCTTAGTTTTAAAAAGCGCGCCTCAAGAGCGTCTTGGCGCTAGGCGAAGCGAGGCGCATCCCAAATCGCCTCGGTCTTCCTAGGCGCAGTGCGTTCCATAAGGCGCCAAAAAGCGCGCGCCTCAGACCGCCTCCACCAAGGGGCAAGGCGCACCGCCTTGGCCGCCTCATGTTCAAAAGCGAGAAAATAGTAGATTCGAGTAAAATAATAACGAAAAATCATATTTTCTTAACAAAATAAAAACCTTACCCAGTCTTTAGGAAGCCATTTCGAGCAAAAGCCCTCAATAAATTACATGAATTTACTTCGATTTAACACCTAATTGAAAAGCCCTAATTCTATAGAACCCTAATTTTTTTAAAACCCTTAATTTGCTGGTGTTGAAGCAATTGAAAAATTGTTGGTTGTCGGCATGATAGAAACTTCCGACGAGCATCTTCTGGTGGTTTCCGGCACCTGATTTGCCCGCGTCCGTCGTCGGTTGAGTTTCCAAGTCTGTTTTTGTTTTTTTTTGAAATTCTCTTTCGACCTCTATTTAAACCTATTTTTTTCTCTTTTTTTTAATTTTTTTTTTAATTTTTTTACATTACTGTAAGTCACGTGAACCCTTTACCCATTTTCTAATTATTTTGAAGTTTTTATTTTATATATTTTTTATAGGTTATTATAGGGGTGTTTTTTTTTTTTTAACGAAAAGATTTTAATTAATATTGTACAAAATAAGTAGTTTATAAAAAAGTATATAACTATGCAATTTTATTTCAGAAAGAATAAAAATAATAATGAAAAAAAAAAAAAAAATCTGTGCCTCATATACAAGAGGCGCGCGCCTAGGCTCCTGGTACCGTTTGCGCCTCGCGCCTTTTTAAACTAAGGTATATGGAGTCGTGGGTGGTGTACCGATTATTTCTACTGAAGGATGGGGAGGGGGGGTTTGGGGGGGACCTTTACTCTAATGTTGATGTCGATTAGATGCCTTAACTTCACCACTCGTTTTAGGGTGATATGCAAGCCAAATATACTCCATATTTCTTTAGGAGGGAGTTTTTGCAACGACGCCAAATTTGACAGGCTAAAATTGTAACACCTTATTAAAAGTAATCCTAGATTTCATTAACAAAGTCGTTAGGGAAGTAGGGTCGAATCTACAAGGAAGCAATGTTCTTTAAATTCTAATTATTAATTTAATCTAGAATATTGAGAACGAGTATTTTTTGGTTTATTTTAAAAACAATAAATAAACTGGAAAAATATTAACAATAAATGGCCTATAGCATAGGTTCACCAATGAACAATTATGAGGGACAGAACAAACATCCAACAATCATTGATGCAATTAATCAAATTATCATGCTCTCTCGAATTGATATTAATTATAGAAGTGAATTGACAAGCTCTCGCAATTTATTAATTCCAATTCTACCTATTAAAACTAGCCTTGATATCAAGTTTTTATCTTTTAATCATTAATCTAATATTGCGATAATATGTTAATCAAACCCGGCCGAATCTAAGTTGGTCCTCATTTAAAAGGCTCGTCTCTCGAGCTTCAAAGGCTTGACTTGCTTTGAGCCTTGACTTTGGTTTGATTTCTTTCTCTTGGGCTTTTCTTCACTTCGGCTACGGATTAGGCTTGTAATGCTAAGCCTTCGTTTCCGCGACTGAGCCCTTAATCACTGAGCTTTCGGGCTTCCAATATTTGGTCTTAATCAATCGATTCAACACTAGTATCACATAGTAGTCCATTAATCTCGAAAATCAACGATTTCTTACAAAATCATACCAAATCTACAAGAACACTTAAAAACGCATATTAACAATAAAAGTAGCTCCGAAGAGGTCATATAAGCACAAATATGACCACGAGACATGGTTAAAATCATATATAAAATAGACACATTAGTGTTGCTCCCTATTCTAGTTTGCCACATCATCAAGATGTCTAGAACTAATTGTCATCGAAACATTATCATGGCAAGAAGCCAGAAATGAATACAAGTACATGTTACAAGTACATGTTACACAGCTTGAGAAGTATTTCACATATTGAATCTAGGAGATTAATGATATAAATCTTTTGTTACATTGAAATTGACAGCATTCTCACTTTGACCTACAACTGAATTAATTGAAAACTAAATTTTAATCAATCGTAACTTAGGAACACTTGGTATGTCCCTTGTTTGAAAATACCTGATATATTCCAACCTAAACCAACTTAACCAAGAATAACCCTAGCAAATTTGATCCAGATTATTCTAAACTAATTATTGACCTGAAATTGCCATTGGTTGTTTCTTTTTTGTCTTCATTCTTAATATAATTCCTCAATGACGGTCTTGACACATATTCTTTATTGGGAAGTTACTTTTTATTCGACACATTTTTATTTTGGCAAGTTTTGTGCGGTGAATTGTCAGTTTTTCCCTTACTCATTTTCTTTCTCATCCCTTCTCATAATAAACCCACTTTTCTTCTCTCTTCTTTCTCATGTTGAGCCCATGGTAACCACTCTAATTTTCTCTCTCCTCCGGTCCTCCTTCACAACAACCACCACATTTTCTCTCGCCTATGTTGTCATTCTCCCTCCTCTCTTTTCTGTCCTTCCTAACCCAATAATTGTTGTTTTCCTTCCTACTCGCCACTAACAATTACTCCAATCCTCTAGCTGCCGTTCTCTCAGTTCCCCTCGTCACCAACTTAACTCGAGCTAACCATTAAAAGCAACTAAGCACCTGACCTTGTGGGTTTGTCATAAAGTTATAATGATGAGGGAAAAATCTAGAGAGAAAGAAAATGGCCAACCATGTTAAAAGATGAATAAACTGAAAAGTCAGCCTCTTTGGTCCAAATTTTCAAAATCTTTGCTTTAACAGTGATGGTGGATGAACAATAGGTGAAGGTGGTAGTGGTGGTGGTGGACTAGATCGAGGTGAGAATGGGTGGGGTTTGATGGTGCGGATGGAAAAAATCATAATATTCTTAGAAAATGTACTAGAGTCTATAGTAGTACTCCCTTCAATCCTTTTTGTTCTTCCCATTTTAGAATGTTTGGCACTATTCATAAGTTAGAGAGAATCTCTTAAATCACTCTTTTTTTGTTTATATATATATATATATATATATATATATATATATATATATATGTACATAATCATGTTGGTTCTTATTTGACTCATCTCAATGATTAGTTCATCAATATTAAACCGTTTTTATTTTTTTTATTTTTTTTTTTCTAATATGCACTAGATATTTATGGTTAATTAAAGTAATGCCTAACAAATGTGCACAGTCAAAATGGAAATAACATTTAGGACCGGAGGGAGTAGTATTTTTAAATTGTACTACATTCTTTTAAAAACGGTGTCTATAGTATGTCAGTAAGTGACAAGAACCAATTAAAGGATATTTTTTAAAATTGCTATTAGTTCAAATAGGAACTCCAAAACCTACTTAGGGATTTTTATAGAAAATTCTATTCAATTTTTTTTCCAATAACATTAGCTGGATTACATTGGGTGTACTATAATTTTGTAGCAACCACTTAATTTCTCATTGCAGGTTGCTTATGGGGCTTCCTTTATTGAATTCTTTTCCGAGGAGGCAAAACGTGTATATGGTGAAATCATTCCTACTCCACTATCTGATCGCTGGTTGTTTGTTCTGAAACAGGTATGTCCATGAAGTCTAAATAAATTATGCCACTATTTTACAAAATATCAGATAATATAAATATGGTTTGTAGTTTAATGTCATTTGCTTGTGGTGGAATTTTCTTTTCAGATTGTAAGGACATAATAGGTTATGAAGTCTTTGTAAAGCAGAAATAAGAACAAAATTGGTACTTATGCCTTACAGGCCATATAAAAGTGAATCCTTAGTTCAATATATCTGTAAGATTTAAGTTAAAGGCCTAGATAAGATCTAGGGTTTTTACTTGGAGAGATTTTTTTTTGAAGAATCAACAATTAACACTCTTGATAGTTCGTAGATTGGAAGATATTGGATAGATAGATTTCTTGTGGGAGCCTAGGAGGTTTCATTTCTTATGTTAGGCATGTATGTGTTGGAATTTGATTTTTAAGTCATGTAAAAGAAAAAAGTCTTTCCTTGTATTTTATAAGAATAGTTACTTAATTAACAATAAAGCGTTTAAAGGTTAGCTATACTTCTGGAGGAATCTATATCTTAAACCATCTTGTTGGTATTTTGAATGTATAAAAGGACAATTTTCAGGGAAGTAACTTCAAAGTCATCAAGCTCTTTTGGTATAGGGTTTATATAGCATCTACATATGTGCTATTCCATGGTGTGCTTCAGCACATGTGTTTATGTTTTTGGGAATATAAAAGGATAATTATTACCTAAGTGACAATGCAACATGCTAGCATCTTAAAAGGATAGTGGCCTCAACAAACAATTAACCTCCAAATACGTTTCCTTTACCTATGGGTCTTTTTGTTATTCAGTATTATAAGACTACCTTAACCTTTTGATGGTTCTTCCATAAGCCAGGGTCTTATGTTATAATGTAATATGGTAAGATTTTTAATTATTTATTTAGTTACAATTTTATAAATGAGAAAAAAGAAACTGATCATCTTTGGTTATTATCTTATGTGCCACTTTTGGCAAAAGCATTTGTAACTATTTGAAAGATTAATAAATTTCGTAGGTTATAAAGCAAGATATTTATCATTCTTCTTTTGGAAGTAGCTATCTTAATTAATGTACGATAAGAAATAGAGTATCATATTTCTTTGGACTGCTCATTCGATATGTGGTTATAAAATTTTCAAAAAGGCGTTGGCAAATTGGCTAGGGCATGTGGTTTCTTATACTGTTTCTTAAAAACTGCTTTCACGCCAAATCTTATAATGGCTAATGAGGTGTTGTATGAAGCTCTTTGAAGAGAGTTGAATGGTTGGTTTTCAAGCCAGACTTTGATAAGGCATATGATATGGTGAGTTGGTATTTCTTTGGTTAAGTCATACAAAGGGTGCTTGTCTTGCGCTTATTTGTTTGTTTTAGTGAATGGATCTCATGTCACCTTGGTTTCCTTGCTGTTGGGTTCTACAACAAAGGAATTCCATGTCACCTTTCCCTTTTCTTCATTTTTGTTGATGTGCTTAGTAGGATGCCAGAAGAGAAGTAAAGAATGTTGTACGAGTTACGAGAGCGAAGGTGAATCGAGACCTTTATGCAAGCTTGGATATGAAGGAAGGGGATAAGACATTCATATACTTTCTCGTATTGGAGATTGGAAAGGTTAAGTGTGAAAGGAAATTGACCAAAAAGTTCTTGTTGGAGACAAGGAGATGAAGGATAGATGGAGATCTTACTTTGATAACCTATTCATTGGAGATCGCACCCGATTGGTGATACAAGTGTCCCTCGTAATATGAATAATCGGCAGTTTATACGAAGGATTTGAAAGGGAGAACGCAGAATGACATCAAAAAAGATGGGATTGAAGAAAGTGGTTGGGCCTAATGACAATCCTATTGAGATTTGGAGATGTTTCAAAGAAAGAGGAATTCAATGGTTAGCAATTTTTTCAGTAAGATTTGGGGATGACATTAGATGCCTTTGGAGGAGAGGAAAAGTACTTTAATACCTTTGTATAAGAACAGAGAGAGTGTCCAAGATTGTGTTAACTATCAAGTGATCAAACTAATGAGTCATTGTATGAAACTTTAGAAGCGAGTGATAAAACAAAGGTTAATGAGAAGTATGAAGATCTCGGAAAACTGACAACGTACTTTAGTGCGCGGTTTTAGGGTGATTTAGTGCTCACTTATTGCCATATTCTAGCTATTTTGCTCACTTATCGCTCTGTTTCCGCACTTTCTTCATATTTGTCATGCTTCACGGGTTTTGTTAGTGTTTTGAAGCATTTTTCAGGTATGCTTAGACCCTTACGAGACATCCCGATGGTTGGGTAAGAAGTCATGGCCTTGAGGTATCTTTGGCTAGGCTTGGATTTCATTTGAAGACCTCATGGGGCTTTGCACGGTCGTGCAATGCTTGGCACGGCCGTGCAAAGAAGTTTGAAGATTTGCAAAACCTTCTGTGAAGGCTCACGGGCATGCAACAATAGGGTGAATTGTTGCTCTATAGTTGTTGTTTCTTGTTGGGAAAAAAGAAAAAAAAAAAGAGAAATGAGAGAGAGGAGAAAAGATAGGAAAAGGAAAGTCTTCTCTGAAGCTGCACGATCGTGCAAATATGTGAGAAATTTGTTAAAAGTCGCTGGTGCAAGATTTTGGCACGTCTGTGCTTAAGTCTGCACGGACGTGCAAATTTTGGCACGCCTGTGCGTGTGGTGCAAAGGCATTCCGGGCTAGCCTTTACGTCCGTGCAAGATTTTTTGGGTAGATGGCACGTCCGCGCAAGATCCTGCACGTCTGTGCCATATGAGCAGTTCGCGAATTCTGAAATAAAAGGAGGCATGCTCAATCCTTTTATTCACTTCTTCCTCTCACTCCTCTTTCACACTCACTCACTCTCTCTTTCTCTCCCCATTCGAAACCCCCTTTTGAAACCTTCAAATCTCCATCAAAACTCCACAATCTTCAACCTTTCTTCTTCTAATCTCCTTCTATCATCATTCCCATCAATATTCATCAATCTACTTCACCCTTTTCCTCTCAAATTCGAATTTCTAGCCATCTTCATCAAACCCTAACTTTCACGAATCAAAATTGGGGGTTTTCAAAGATTGAATTTTTAAGAGGAATTGGTGAAGCACAAAGGTTTAGCAAGTGCAAAGAAGTGTTGATTGAGTTCATTTGCGGGTTTTACACCAACATAAAGCATTGGTATACTCACTTCAATCCCCTTACTCACTTTGATTTTTGATATTCATATATATTTGCTAACCTAGTTTCAAATTGTTGGATTATTGGTGTTTGTGATAGTAATTGATTATTGTCTAGGGTTTTTGTGATTTGTTTGGTGTTTGTGTTGATTATTGTTGGACTTTGTTTTCTTTTGGCCTTAGTTTTTCACCCAATTCATCATGTCTCTTCGAAAGAATGCCTCTAACGCTAACAAAAGAACCCGTACCCAATCTACCCCTTCCGTTGCTCCACCACGGGTGGATACCCTAGGGATTGAATTTAATAATCTGGATTTTATGACCAATTTTCTTAGGATAAGGAAGCGGAGAATGAGACCCACAAGATTTTATGACCCCTCGGTAGGTATGGCTTTAGGGGTTGAAGGGGATATGAGGCAACTATTTTCATATGCTAGGGTGGAGAGTTGGTTAGACTTACATGCAAGCACATACAGAAGACTTACACTTGAGTTTTTATCCTCTTTATATGTGCACCGTGACACCAACCTCTCCCCGCATTATATGACTTTCCAATTGTTGAACCAACCCCAAAAAATGACTATAGAGCAGGTGAGCACGGCTTTTGGGTGGTCATCGGGTGGCAAGTTTGGGACTAAGGATAAGACATCAAAAAACTTCTTTCCCGGTGGCTTTTGGCAAAAGATCACCGGTAAAACCAATAGGAATCCTAGGTCGGATAAGGCCACTTCGATTGTAAACCCCGCTTTGCGCCTTGCTTAAAGGCTCATAGCCCTTACCATCTTCGCTAGGGGGGATAGTTCCGGAGTTGTCTCTAGTAGGGAGCTTCTTTTCCTATGGCACCTTAGTGAGGGGGATGGGAGGCTTGACTTAGGAGCTTGGTTGGTTGACCACCTAGTGGACGTTGCAAGGGGGGTGGGGCGACCACTATTGGGGGTATGATTACTATTATTGCTATTTTCTTTGACCTTGACTTTTCGGCCAACCCATGAAGGCTCTTGAGGAGACCCGGGAGGAGGATTGTTTCTTGTGGCTTCTGGGAGGCAATTCCTATGAATATATCTCCCAAATCCCGAGAAGACAGTCGTCTACGAGCCTGAAAATTGCTAAAATTACACTAAAAGTAGGTGAAGAGGTTCTTGAGCTTGATTTGAATGCAAGCATGAAATATCCTAGTTCTACTTTAGAGAAATGCATGAAAATTGACACCATTGATTGTATTGTGAATTCTATGCAAGAGCACTTGCTCTCTACTAACAATGCCCTTGAGAATGTCTTGTTAAACAAGGAAAAGATAGGTGATCAAAGCAAAGAAATGGCGTTGTATGAAGAGTTGCTTGAGAATGTTGAAGGAAATGTTGACGAAGCTTGCACGGGAATCACACCCAAACATGCTACGGAGATTGCCACTACAAAGGAAGGTAAGGGTGTGCCTATGGTAGAGCTAAAACCTCTACCATCACACCTTAGGTATGAATTTCTTGGACCTAATTCCACATTTCTCGTTATTGTGAATGCATCTTTAAATGAACACCAAACTCGAATGTTATGTGGTGTGTTAAGAAACCACCAAAATGCCTTGGGCTATACCCTTGATAATCTCAAGGGTATTAGTCCCGCTATTTGCATACATCACATAACATTGGAGGAGGGTACAAAGCCATCCATAGAGAGGCAAAGAAAACTCAACCCTGAAATGGGGGAGGTGGTGAAGAAGGAAATCATCAAGCTCCTAGAGGCCGGCATCATCTTCCCCATTTCGAGCTCAAGGTGGGTTTCCCTCGTGCATGTTGTTCCTAAGAAAGGGGGTATGACCGTAGTTGAGAATGAGGAAGGTGATCTCATCTCAACTAGG